TCATATGGTTGTAGAATAATGGTTTACAAAATTTCAATTAATAAACAATTAAAATATTTATCAGCATTATTATTAATTTCATTCTTTTATTGGTATTATTTCTTAAAACAAATACAAGAACTTGAAGAATATTGTGAGCGCGAATATCCAAAACCATTTTCACAAACAAATATTGAACTTCGACACGTCAGGATACAAAGGAATGAAAATGAAGAGATTATGTTCAATGAACAATTTCCTCGAAATCAAATTCATATTGTGGTATATATAAATGTTTTATATTATATGATGACCCATGCAGACGAGAAAACTTGTTCAGGGGTGCAGCGAGTACTCGAAAATGAGCCCTCTGAGAGCTTGACCACTCGAAATATGAGACTACGGACTCTCTATATAAGCATTCGAGGGATTATCGATTTCGAGCCCTGGGGTTTCAGACAGATAGCGAGCCTCGAAAAAAAGTCCCAGCCATCGAACAGAGATGCTCGGGATTTCCGAGTTCTCGTCGCATCCTGGGGTGACGAAGGCTCGGAAATCTTTTGGTCTGCTTGGGTCTCCAACATCTATGTTCGATAGTTTGGAATTTTTCTCGACGGCTCGCTACCTATCTGACATCCCAGGGCTCGAAATCGATAACCCCTCCAACACTTATATCGAGACTTCGTAGTCTCATTTTAAGAGGGATCGAGCCCTCAGCGAGGACTCTTCGAAAGCGTATTTTCGCGTACTCAAAATACCCCTCGAAAATGTGGTTGGGATATACAATGATTTACATTAATTTTAGTATCAGTTTTATATTGATGATAATAAAACAAGACAAATTGAACTTGATTTAGCTTTAGAAAAAAACATATTAAACAATGAAATCGATTGTATTCATCTTTTATTGGAGAAAAAAGAGCACATTCCATGTCATTTATCAAACAAATATGTATGACACACTCCCATTTTATTTTATCTGATAAGTTTTGTTGTTTCATTATCAAGGATAAATGCATCTACGTTTGGTTATTAGGAAAACGTCTTAAGTTTAACGTTGCTCTTGAATTTTCTCAAAATCGTCTTCGAGGTAAAAGAAAACTTTTAATATTTAAAGATATATCTAAAACTTTTTGAAAATTTTTAGGTCTTTTGGTTGCTGTCATAAATTCCGATATTTATTTTGATAAAACAATTCGATTACTGAAAATAATATCTGAAATGAAAAACAAATTGATTGCATTGAGTGTTATCGAAGCAAATAACGATGGTAGAACACGAGATATAAGATGTAGTCAACAGTATGTAGGAAGTCATGATACGTACATTTTTAAGCCGCCAATAAAAAATTTTCAAGAAGTATATAATGAAACAAATATTTATGTCGGCGGGTTAACGGGGTACGTAAATGAAAAGAGTAATACGCGCTCTTGTAATTAACACTAATTTCATTCTTTTTAGCGGAGAGAATCGTATTATGTTTGAGTTAGAGAATAAATCAGGAATTATTTCGTACAATCCATGCAAACTAATAAAAGCTTATCATTTACACGAAAGTAATGTAAGACATGGTAATAGAACTAATAGAGTCGATTCAAATAAAAGAGCTGCATACGCACTACCAACAGATAAATTACCATGAATCGCTTTGAAGAGACTTAGTATCATACATTCTTCGAGCATGTGAAATCAATCAAGACTGACTTAACCATTGGAGTAAAGAAGTGTCTTAAAAACAACCCCATTTTTATTACTAGATTCCTATTTTGCAGTAAAATTCTAACCATGCCTTACGAAAGCGTCTAAATTTCTATTTTATGCATCTATGCGAATTTCATGAGCCACCGTAAATACTAAGTCAATGCCTCTTGATTGCATTCTTTCATCTAAACTACGTGGATTTTTCATGCATAATGTAACGCATACCGATGTCTTACGTCGAGTGTGAAGTAAGCTAGCTGCTCTTGCTGAAGAAGCACCCGCTTCCCCATTGACTGCCGCTAGCTAAAAGAGTGAAATTTAGCTGATGTAGCTAGCTGCAGAGACAAACCCGCTGCAGTACTAGTTGCAGCAGGTATATATCCCTCTGGAACAAAATAGTTGCAGTCGATTTTTTTAATATATCATCACTATAAAAATACATTTTAAAACAATAATTATATATTCTGAAAACGCTCGGAGTTCTGTATCACCCTGCATATTTATGTCTTGTCTTGCATTTATTTGCTAAAGGATAAACTGAGTGCAATGACGGCTAGGTATGGTTTTGTAGATCATTTCGCGGCACATCTTTTTAAGGAAAACATTAACGTTTGGGTCCTAAAGAAATACGAGAAAAATAGAAAATACTGAGACCGCACCCGTTACAATTTCTAGGAACGTGATGATGATAGGGCTATCTTAGAGTTGAACTCTGAAACACTAATTCAGAAAATTCAGGTTTCAATATTTTTTTCTCCAGAAGGAATGTTCGGAAAGGCTTCTTTCACAGTGAAAAATCAAAAACAATAAAAGTATCGCATTTTTACCCTAAAGGAAGCTATTTCTAAATTTGTATCAAGAGGAAAGAATGATGGAAATTAAATTTTACATGCTATTGCCCCTAGGTTTAACTCTGAGAAATGCTTTCTGCATAGAAAACCAAGATACTGTATGCGATTTTCAACTAGCTGAAGCTAATTGAAGATCGTGTAGCCAGTCCGATACTGGCGGAAGCGGCCGCTATAGCGCCCGTTCCATGGCCTGCATGTTTATGAAGATGGTGTGGCTGGCTTCAGCAGGCGGTACTAGCTTATTTTTCAAGCTTGGATAGGCAAGGAAAATGAATGAGTTAGATGAATAATGGAATAATTTCTCTATTGAATAATAAATAACGTGAGTCGCATCGATTCAGTAAGTCCATTGCCTGTAAACTGAATGAATGTACTGTCGGAATTACTATTCATTCTGTTGTAACTCGATCTTGCTACTGCATAATTGATGGATATTTTTCGCGATGAGAATGTCCATATTTTCTATCTTAGTTTACAGATGCAGTTACTATAACTTTTCACCGGTCAGAAAAGTTTATCAGAATTTCTGTAGTTCATCGAGACTCTGTAATTTGATTTAGTTTTATCTGTCATACTGACGTTCGAAATGGACGTAAGATTACCAAATCTAGCAGTCTTCTTACCCTTCATAACATAACCTAAGTGGGAGCGAAGTTTGACCTGGTTCATGGAAACAACGCTTACACCTCCCTTCGGTTGGTGTTCGCTGGAAACTATCTACCATGCGTTATGAATATGTGTGGATCTATGTCCGTCAGACTCATTAGTGACTATATGTATGTACGTCCGTCACACTGCTACATGATTCTGTGGATGCACGGCCGTCACACTTCTATACGGACAAACACACAAATACTTTATTTTATACGACCACAGAGGTACAATCAATAGAATAAAAAAGTTATAGTGCCTCCTGTTTGATATTTAGGACCTAAAAAGAAAACAATAGATAATGATTTGTTAGAAACGAGATAAGTGGTTACTTGGTGCTGGTAACTTAAGTTTTTATTTACTTTTATGTATATTTTATTTAACAGAATTAGATGTTTATTTTTCTTGGATATACATTTCTTTTATAACCCATTTCTTCTTCGAATTCAGATCAACAGGCACCAAGTACAAATACATCTTTCTCTTTATAATAAGTAGCGTTCATCATTCTGATTCACTTATCCCTTGACTGAAAAAAAATTGCCAGTATCAAATTGTTTCTACAGAATAAAATAATTATCTTTCTTATTCACATTACATTCTGAAGAACGTTGTCAACAAGCAGCAGGCTAGTACTATGACAGTTCTCACGACCATCATTGTTCTTGCAAGGTAAGAGATAAATGAGGCACATTTCCAATTCTTAAGTTCTTATTTCTAATCACTCTCGTACTATGTCTGGACGTGTACGTTTGTCTGTCCGCTAGTAACTTGTGTCTACGCCCTAACACAGCACAGTGGGCATTTTTTGCTTGAGCAGGCGGACTTTAGCTTTATGAGTGAACTAAAATTTCATGAACCATTTTTCTATAGGTTTTTCATGATCCTCTTTTTAATGCCATGAGAGTTGGGTTTTGAAAAAGTTTTCTAAGGAGTTTTCCAGAGATCCAGTCTATGGAAAACCTTTCAGAAAACTTTCTCAATATTTAAAGATGATGCCACTGGAAAGAGCATTGTCGAAAACCTATAAGAAACATGTTTCGAGTCGTTCAGGTTACTTTATCTTGAAATTCAAATTTTCAGCACGAAATTGTTGTGTGAATCTCAAGAACTAAGAAATTTCTAGAATTCAAAATCGAGTGACCGAAACTAGATGAGTTATACATCATTCGATGCAGTTTTTCACGCTGATTCCGAAT